CTCGCTAATGCAAACATTTACATTTTTACAACTACACGTTTGGCGCTCCCGTTGTGGCTTATGTGCTTACAAATGTACATATGTATATGTGCATATGTCTACTTACCAGTCTGTCATTAACTGTGTGGCAGGTGCATCAAAGCATAACTGGCCACTGCAACAAAACTTGTAAATAAAGCCTTTTTTCTAGGGCTTATTCGAGCCTGCACGTAAATTAAAAACAAATAAAAAAGATTTTTCAATGGAAGGCGAATTGAAATTCAAGCCTTTTATCAGCAGCAATAAAGGCATATGGTGCGGTAATTATAACAAGGCAGCGCTCATGCATGACGTCATTATCATCATTATCATCATGTGTAATTTTGTTTGGCAGAACTGCATTATATTTTTCATTTGACAATGAAAATTCTGTTTTTTTTAGTCAACAAGAAATTTATAAATACATTAAAGCCATGATGTAAAAATTACAAAGTTTTATGTTGCGACGTTAAAAAAAAATATAAATGTAAAGTGCTCAAATGAAGTGACGTTAAAAATGAAATAGCAACAAAAAAGCCGAGGAACAATTCAATGAAAAGAAAACTAAATTATGGACAAGAAGGAATAGCTATCTTCTGATATGCTGAAGTCTTTATCCCTTTCATGACCATATAAATCTTTTTTTATTTCCTTTTAGCATTAAATATTTGTACTCATATATGAAAAATTGGTTGGTGAGGCCTAAATGATGAAGTTTTTCATTTTCGTTGATTATCGGTGTTTATGCTAACTTCTATACATCTATACATATATGTGTAGAATACCGAATTTCACGCTTTTATTTGACTTTTTGATGGACTTTTGATGTAAGGTAAAATCGATTGTATTGGAGCTAAATTATGTAGTCCTCGGATTTCGATGATTTTTGGGTACAATTTTTACTTATAGATACGAATGAAAAGTACAAAATTTCATACTCGTGGTCCCTTTGAGGTGCAGTTTTGTATACAGAATACCAAATTTCCCGCTCTAAAACATGACCAAATCAAATCAACTCGTCTTTTTGACTCGATTGGTATACATTTTAATGGGCCTATCTCTTCTCCTTGTAGTACTTACATTTTTCGGACCAAATACCATTTCAGGTACATGAATTAAGGCTGCTAGAAACAACTTAATTCTACAAAAAAGAGAATGTTAAAAGCCAATTGAAGTAAAGCCTATAACTATTAAAAAGTGCAAAGTTTCATAAGTACACGTACACTCTGTTAAGCTTAAATAAAGCAGGAAATAGACACACTTACACACTCGCAGACGAATTGAGTATTCACTTGAGTTTTTATTTCGCATTGCCTATTAAAGGTGATCAACCGGATATGGAGTATAAAAGTTAATGTTGCTGTTATTTGATATTATTTTTGTTGGAAAGTCACCACAGATAGACGACCAGACCATAGTGAATATTTACGAAATGGTGACAAAATGCCTGAAAATATGCGTAATTATGTATAAATTTGCACACAAACATACGAGTATGTACATGTATGAATGAGTAAATACTCATAATTTTTCTTTATTTTGGATGGCATTGCCATTTTGGATATAACATAAGCAGTTGTGTTTATTGGTTTTTCATGGCTTCCAAAGCTGTTAGGTAACAGTCACCACTGGTAAACAGTTCAACCATTATTGTAATGTGTTTCAATTGCTTTAATGTTTGTTAGACATCTTAANTATGTTTGTATAAACGAATGTATTTAATTATGAAATGCCATTTTTTTACTTTGCAATACTTGAAAACTTATGTCATTATTACCATGATGCAAGCACATATAATGTATAGATTAGGTAAATAAAAAATATAACTTACTTACTGCTGACCCTAAATCGTTAAAAAATCAAATTTTACAATATACACGTATGTACGAATGTGTTGTGTAAAGACAATGATTGTTGTTTGACACCAAAAATTTACTTTAAACATTTCTCGGTACCTCATATTTGATTGTGGTCTATATATATATGTGTCACATGTCACATTACAGTGATCGCAACATGTTTTTCGTTTTCATTCAATCGAATCAGTGCTCGCATAATGAGCAGATTCAATGATTTCTATTATTTTACCGAAATTTTTCACCAAATGGCCTTCCACCACGAAGAGACAGCTAAATGGTTTTATCGGCAAAATCAATTAATTTTATTCAAATAATTCTGCTTTAATATAGCTTTTTGCATGGTCCAAAAACATGTCGAATGAGTGTTTTAGCTCGTTGCCCGGTATGGCCGCCAGTATGCCGGTGCAAGCCTTTTGAATGGCCTCCACGTCTGCATATCAGGTGAATACGGTGAGGGATTGTTTTTACTGTTAAAATGTAGTTTTTGGCCTTTTTTTGCCTCTTTAATGATGTCCTTGGAATGTTGAATTCTGAGAAATTTTTGGTCGTCAATCAATTCGTGCGGAACAACCCATGCCCACACCTTTTGTAATCCAAATGTTCGGTCAAAATTCGGTAAATCGATGTTTTGGAGATGTTCAATTATATTTCCATGAATTACAATGATGATTTCGGCTGATTTTTTATGAATTCAATTCGGTGATAACGGATTTTGGCTGGCCAACATGTTCATCGTGATTTATGTCCTCACGACCACTTTGTAGACGTTGAAACCACATCTGGACACTCTGCTACGGGATAGGCAATCAAGGCCATAAACTTGTTTGATCAATTAAAACGTTTCGGTAAAAGTTTTACCAATTTTAAAACACAATTTAATGTTGGCTCATTTTCGCACCGATGACAAAAACATACTGACACTTAAAACGCAATAACTTCATTTCTAATAGATGAAATGTCATGAAATTACTGGAAATCGATAAAGGATAGCAGATTCTAACGCACTAGTCGACCACCACTAAAGGGCGCTAGATTCAAAAAGTACTGTTTACTTTGGAACGCACCTTGTATTATATGTTGATATGTACCCACATTCATTAACCATCGATTAAATAAGTGCCAAATGATTTTTACTTCAATTCATCAGTTTCACAATACCAACTCGTACCACAAGTCAGCAATATTTGCAGTTTTTGCAATGCGAAATTAAATTTTTTCTTTTGTCAGATGGACTTTTGTTGTGCTTAAATAGAAAGTTTTTGATTTTTAACTTTACGGATTGCAAGTGACATTATTTGGCACTATACTCTGGTGCTAATGTGACAATGCTTGTCTAGTATCTATGTAAGCACGTAGTTACTTTCAAATATCACCCATTGAATTTTCGCTATAACTGGCTATTGTATATAAGTCTAGTGCACAATTTTTCAACATTTTTCTGTTTATTTTCACAATTAATGTGATTTGATTTGTTTGAATGTATAAAAAAATATAATAACAATTATTTCTAATATAAATACGTGTTTGTATATATAATAAGGAAATTTATTGAATTACTTAGATAGATAAATTGTGAAAATTGTCTGGTAAATTTGAAAATTATGTCTATTTGTACATTTAGATAATTATACAAGTAATTTGGATGTTGGAAATACTTTAGAGTAAATCGTTCGTCTGATATCAACGAAACTCTCATTTTGTTAAATATAAGTTTTACTATATATTGTCTATGGACACAAAGAACACATTTTTTGTTTTTGCGTTCTTTAAAAGTTGCAGAGATACACATAACTGTATTTTTGTGTTCAAATGCAGAGGATTTGTTTTGTTTGAATATACAAATATTAATGAATTCATTTCATCCAATTCATTTTGAATCAATCCAAATAAACAAGATTAATGAGAGGAGTTATTTTGAATAGCCTACATTTCGTAAAGCTAAGACATTTTTAGTCGCCGTGAAGTACCTTGTCGGATAGCAATATAAAAATTGGTGTAAAAAATGCAGCTGTTGCGACAAGTTAGTGTTGTGAAGAATTAAATTCCTGCACTTCGCCCAAAAACAGCTGAGAACATTACTGCTGTAACAGTGTTGAAGAAAAACCAGTTTTGTCCATTCCTTGTATTTCTTTCGAATTGGGCATTCCACACACGTCATTATGCCGAGTTTTGCTTAAGGACTTGGATCTCAAGGTTAACCCAATAACTCAAGCCCGCCGATGATCAACAATGGCGTGTTTTTATTAATTGCGTCCCAGAAATGAATGAAAATGATCTGGAACTTCTTAGAAAAATTATCTTCACTGTTGAGGGACATTTCTACGTCGATGTGTACGTGAATAAGCAACTCTGTCGCATTTAGGGTCGAAAAATCCAATATTTATTGTTGAAAAGCTTGTAATTGGTTTGTGCGGTTTATGGTCCGGCGAGGTTATTGGAACTTACTCTTTCGAAAATGCAGCTGGAGCAACAGTTGCGGTGATTAGATTGGGCTATAGAGAGATGATTAATGATTTTTTATTGCCGGAATGGGATGGTATAGATATGAACAACGTTTGCTTTCCACAATACACCACTACGTGTTACACAAGCAATGTATCCGGTCCGTGTTATCGCTCAAAGAGGTGATCGCAAATGCACAATGAGATCTTATGATTTAACATTATTTAACACCTTGTGAATTCTACCTTTGGGGTCAAGTGAAATATAATATCTACGCCAACAGGCCAAATGCGATCCAAGACTTTAAAGTTGCAATTCGTTAAGCTATTCAGGTATACAGCACCCACTTTGGTGATAGAAAATTTCGTAAAAGGATACGGCCCTTTAAGCGTAGGCGTGGCAGCCATTGATATTGTTTTTCTTTATAAATGGCATATCTTTCTCCTTGCATCCGATCGTTCGTCTAAAAAAATTGTCATATTTATTAGAAAAAATAACACCTCATATTGGAAATACTGTAAATTTTTGAATTTCTTAGTTAACATTTGCTGTATAGTTTCTATCGTCATGAAGTTTGATTCAATTATTCTCAGGACAAATATTTTATTAATTCACAATTCACTGTATACATTTAATTTTCCTTTTTTTCGTTTTGTCTATTTTTTTTAAATGAAATACATATTTTTTTTTGTTATTTGATTTATCTATATTTGTTGGTTTTTCTATTTAGTATAATTTCTTTAACTTTTTTTTAATTTAGTTTAGTTTTGCAATTTCATATTTTATTTTTTACATATCATTATTTTACATACTTAAAAAAAATTAATAATCTTTTATCACAGATCACTTCAAAAATCCACACTTAGTTTTCTTCCTGCGAACAACGCTTTGGTGCATGGAAAAAACGTTCTGGCAGTGGAAAGCTACTACTAATTATTTGTATTCTGACAGTTTCATTAGTGCAAGGCAAATCTACTTCCGCAGATGATAGCTGGGCTGTGTATTCACCATTTTCTATATCCTCTTCACCCAAAACCGTAGGTAGCAGTTGATTAATTAAATCTTTTTTAAAAGCTTGTACGCCTGGTGTGTCGGGTATTAAACTCTGCTTTGATTGGTCTGCTGTAGAAGCCTCAGATTCCTTGCTATCATTCACTGGTAGTGTAAAAGTTAAGGTCTGAAAAATAATAAAATAGTAATAAATAAATATATTAAAATTTATTTTACAAACTAAATTTAATATATATAAACATATATTATATATAAAAATTTACCTGCAACGCCAGAAAAGCGCTGAGCAATAAAAATAGCTTAATGTGGCGGCTCATTTCAATTACTACAAAATGAACTGTCTTCTTCGTTGCTAAATTGTAACTGAGACTTTTATATTTGCTTTAGCAATTTTATATGGATTATTATAATAAATATTAAGAAAACGTAAATTATCAATTTTGTTATCTTTGTGAGTTCTCATGAATGTAGGCTACACGGGATCTAATGAGAACCGGTTGAACCGCTATTTAATTAATCAATTCAATCTATCTTTAAACTTATATTAAGTAAATTCTTAGAAACGGCAAGAAAATTGTACTAAGCAAGCACCGGTTAATTACTAAGAAATATTTATAATGATAAGTCAAATCCAAAAACAAAAATGTGTATTAGAACTATTGTATATACTCGAATGTTCACAATCCTTTGAATCTATTTTTATTTCTTCGGCTTAATTCTTCGATATCCCACATATTAACTTACTACGTTAGAATGAACAAAACCGCCAGATTTTAAGTTTTAGCGATAATTTGTGGAGAAACTCAACTATGAAAAATAAAAAGTTTTTTATAAGCGTAATGACATTTTTGTAATTTGTGTAATGTGGGATTGTAAGTATGGAATAATGGAATTATTTGAATTTAAAACGATATAAATTAAGATTACTCGATTTGTTTTAGCAGCTATTTATTTGTATCAAAAGAAATATTTTTGCTACAAGTATCAAAAATGAATGTATATATAATTAGCGCTTGTTTGATCACATGCGTGACATATTTACATATCTACTCGCTAGCATTTATGAATACACATATTAGGTGTTGTAAAAAAAGTGCATTATTTTTGCATTATATGAAAGGCTTTAATTTTTACTTCTGGTATCCAGCCTTACTCAAATGATACGAGTCGGTTTTTTGTGGAATCCTTAGATCTTGGGCAATCGAAACAGTGCTAACATGACGGTCGGACTCATTTTCGACAATTGACCTTCCACTCCGTGAAGTATTGTTTACATCAAAATTACCGGAATTAAACCGAAATTGCGCATGATTGACTGTTACAGCATGAGGACCATAAGCGCTATTCACATTTTCAGCTACCTGGCTTGCGTTTTCGCCCTTATAGAAGAAAAACTGTGGTTTCTCTTTGCTGGTGTCCATTTATGACGCACGCTCAAACAAAATTTGATCAAGCAATCAGCTAACTGTCCAAAGATCTTTTTTATTCCGAAATGCCTACTTTCTAACGCCACCGAGCGGAACCCGATCGGATTTATCCAACGCAAGATACAGATAAATAACGCCATCTATTGGGAAAATAATGCATTTCTTTTTAATTACTTACTTGACTAGCGTAGATACCGCCTGCACGATTATAGCTGAGTTAACAACATTGTGACATTCGTTTCTTCTTTTTTCTGTTTGGCGCCAATTGCAAATACCAAGTACAGCAAGGTCCTTCTCTCCTGATTTTTCCAAAGGAGTGCAGGTCATCCCTTTCCTTTGCTTCTTCTGGCGGTAATACAAAACTTTCAAAGCTGGAGAATTCGAATCCATCCAGACCACAGCGTAGCCGCTGTTTATTGATTCTCTGAACTAAATCAATGTTGCCGTATAACTCGTGCAGGTCATCGTTCCATAGTCTGCGATATTTGCCGATGGCAAGGCGGAAAGGACAGTAAACCATTCGCAAAATCAGATGATGTCATGGATGTCAGGATGGGAATGATGAGCGACTTGTAGAGTTTAGTTTTCGTTCGTCGCGAGAGGACTTTAGGCAATAAGTTAAAGAAGTCTCACGGTAACGTGTCACCTTGTCTGAAACCTCATTTGGTATCGAACTTCTCGGAGAGGTCCTTCCGGATGCTTACGGAGTTTTTAGTTCTATCAGGTCTAAAATCACACTGATGAGATTCAATCAGTTTGTTTTGAAAGGACCTTATATACGATATTAAGGAGGTTTATTCTTTGGTAAATGACGTAGATTGTGGGATCATTTTTTTTGTGGATTGGGCAGAGCACGTTTAAACTCTAATCTTTGGTCATGCTTTCGTTCGACCATATTCTGTAAAGTAGCTGATGCATGCACTTTTTCAGCTCATCAGCGCCATGTTTAAATACTTCAGCCGGTTGGTGGTCAACTCTAGCTGCTTTGTTGTTTTTTTAGTGGAACTTCGAATTTCTACATAGTCAGTTAATGGAACGTCTTTTCCACCATCAACGATTGGGGTGTTGGGTTTACAATCTGCGGGTGTTCCATTTTCATTTCCATTCAGCTAGAGAAGTGTTCTCCCCATAAATTCAGTACGCTTCGGTCTTGAAACCTTCTGTAAGTCGTCGTTTCTTCCCTTAGAATTTTCCTTCCCTCTTCGATTCTCGGTATCTGACCCATTCCACTCGAGCAGTTGTCCATCGCAACGTTTTCTCCATTGCGACACGGCAGCCCTCATCGTACCAGCTGTTTTTGCGACTTTTCTGAAATCCAATAAATTAGTTTTCAGCTGTACCTAGGGAGTTTGCAATGCCGGGTTGCCGATGAGTGCAGGTATGCAAGTAGAATAGAAAACCGCTTGGCAGTCTGTTATAATACGGCCGATCTTTAATACACAGAGGCGCATGCATATCTTCGCTGCAACAATATAGTAGTCAGTTAAACATGACCAATTTACAAAATCAGAAGAGAAAGATTCTAAGCTATAACTTTCAAGTGTTTTGTGAAAAGAAGAATTTCAATAAAATTTCGTATACTTGAAATTTCATTTTCACAAATTCTTCTCATATGTGCTTTTATATTTTAAGTTAATATTTGTTTTATAATTGAGTAAAACATCATGTATTTTCGAGTTCTGTGAAGCTATATTTTGCAAATTTTAAGTATATATAGTAATGTGTTACCAAAATTGTTTACGGAAATGAATCCTTGGCATATAGTTATGTGATTAATAAATATACATTAAAGATTTGAATTTTTTACATGTAAAAACATTTCACTTACATAGATATCCGCAGGAATATTTTCTTTAAATTTAACGTATCATTTCTTTTTCTGCATTAGATTATTACTGATATGAATTATTTTTTTAGTCCTCGCAATGTACTAGTATCAATCAAAGTGCATACTTTTGGACTAAAAACGAAACAACTGTATTTAATTTTTACGTGTTTCATTCCACGAGTATTGTGGTTGCAATTCACTTCTGTTCGACAAATTGTCATTGTGTTGCAATTCCACTTATTTACAACCACAAATACGCACATTTGGCCAAAACATATATTTACATATTGTGGCGAGCACAAAACATAAAGAAATAGCAGCGCACAACACAGCCCAATGTTCTCTTTTCAAAGGTAAATAATCTCTATTGCTTTTGTGCGCTCTCTCTGTTACTGCCGTTGCACTTTCCATCTGCGTTGGCCGCATTGTGATCATTTCTGGGTTATTGAACTCTTCTAGTGTATACGTTGAAGCGCACGAGGATTATAATTTGCACATTATTTTTAAATTAAATACAATTTTTGAATTAATAAAAATTATTTATAATTTTTTTATATTGTAAGCTTTATTAAACATCACTTTAGCGTCAAAAATGCTCGCAGTATTAGAAATAATCTCAAATATGACGGCAAAACTTTAAGCAATCGACTTCCGTGTTCTCAGAAATGCTCAAGGCAACTGAAATGAGGTTGCATGTGAGAAAGTTTGCTTGGCGTGAAATGCAAAAAGGTTGTGAGAACTTAAATATTATGTAGTGAGCGCTTTACAATCGCATTTGAGTGGGCATATATTGGTTTACTTATTGCTTATTTACTTGTTATTCTCTTTATGAATGTACCTAGCTTTCATGTTTAATGCAAAAATAATTACCCCAAAGGAAATTGAAGATATTTTTATTAATATTGGTATTTTTAAAGATTTAGATTCGTCACGCAACCCATGTCCAAGAACTGGACTCCATACTTCCTTAACAGTTTTATTGTTGCGTTATAGCGAAGGATTTTGTTGTTAAGGCTAAGTATAGATTTTCATACTGATAGATTTGAGTTTGAGCTATAATTTTTTTTAGCAGAAATGTGTCATCTCCAGGTTAAGTGCCTATCAAAGATATCTTTTTTGTTAGATCTCGGAATAGGTGCACTGTTGAGCTTGAGAGAAGTGCATGTTTTCGGTTTTAATGTCATTTCGTTATTAGTTGAAGATGTTGTTCAAACACTTTTTTGGTTGTATACATATGTATAATTGTCGAGATATTTGTACTGACTTATTATAGCAGTGTCATTCGTAAAAGTTTCTGTGAATATCTGCGGTGTATAGTCTATACATTATTGGTCTAAGAACACTCTCTTGCGAACACCTTCCCTGATATGATACTCATTTGTTATGCATTTATTTATATTTAGAGAAATTCGCCTGCTAAACAAGTAGGATTGGCGGATGTTTTGGAACGAGTTAAGTAGTGATTCGTTAAATTTGTGAATTAGACCATTATGACAACTGTTCTCACATGCTTGAGTGACATAAAAAAAACCGCTAAGCTGATAGAATACTGAATTCGAGAGCTTATCTTATGCGATATAGATGTGCAATTGTGCCAAGTTTTTCGCGAAAACAAAATTCATGTATGAAATTCAATAGAAGAGCATAGAAAAATAGAAATTTTTGAGAGCAGTACTTTAATGAAAAATACTTATAGATCTTTATGGTGATGTCAGCGTTTCGACTCGTTCCATGTTTTTAGATTATATCCCAGCTTTAAGATAGCTCTGGAAAGCTTTGTTAAAAAAACGAGAGGAAGGCTTAGAAGTATCTTTTTAGCATTTCAGTAAGATATGCGGAGAAAAAAATTTATGGATAATTTGAGCTGATTAACACCATTAGCATTCCACATCCTAATTTCGCTAATTTTGTGACTAACAGGATTTGTAACATTTAATTTTGAACTTTTATGAAAACTTGAATCATATTTTGCATAGTTGACATAAAATGTGTCAGGCACAGAATCTGTAGCAAACCGGCCTCTTTAATTTTTCATTATATTTCTAAAACCGACATTTGAAAACTGAGCACATCACATATTGCAGAAGTGCGATTTGTAATATAAATAAGAATACTTTTTTCTGATATGTCACATAATTACACAATTTCAATACGATTATGCACCATTAAAGAAATTATTACGGAAATATTAAAAAATACCCAGGAAAATAGTGTAAAATGCGTAATTAATAGTAAAATAAATAACCCACAATTACACACCAAATCTGTCAGTGTTATACCAACAGATTAACCGAATTACCAAAATCATTTAAAATAATTGTTTATATTACATTTAGTTATTAATGTGAAAGCCGTAAAATGAAAATACGATAAAGTTGCGGAAAAACCATAAAACAAAACACAATACAAACAGTCGTGCTAAACGTAAACAAAAGGTGGCAGTTAAAACTGCATTGTAAAACTGGTTAGACGCGTTTTACTTAACGTCTGCATCTAATATATTCATACATATAAAAATATCTATGTATGTTGCTCTGTTCCATTGTTTTGCTGTTACATAATCGGAAAAAGCAATGAAAATAAAAAAGAACAATAAGTCGCCTAAGCCGCATTTCAAATCCAGTTGATGTTGTTGCTGAATGAGACCTCACTAACCTAAAAGAATAACCATGTAGAGGCATAAGGTAAACAAATGTGCATTGAAAATATATTGAAGAATAAATGGCAAAACAAAATGCCTTTGCAAATTCAACAATTGAACATTGACTAAAATTCTGATGGGGACTGGAGCTGTTGAGGAAAATGGATATTTTGTTATATTAATTTATACTATTTTAATTTACTTTGTGTCATTTTAATATTTTTATATTAATTTAATTTATTTTACTTAATTTTATTGAAGTTTTTTTATTTTGTCTTACTTTAATTTATATTAACTTTATCTTATGTATTTTTCTTTCCTTAATTGTAAAAAATTTTTTATTTTGGTTTTTGTTATCTTATTTTATAAAATTTTTTTTATTTTACTTTTTTGTTTTATACTATTCAATTTATTTTGGAAAAAGAATAAAATGTTAAAAAAATAAAAATAAAAATTTAGATCTATTAAATTATCCACAACCTAATATTCTATGATTCTCCTGTAATTTATTCTTGTTCACGCAGAAATTAACTTAGCCTAGTGCCCCCAGCAAGCTGTGAGAAATCTCAGTACGCACAACTGCCCCGCTTTCCAGTACGCAGTTACTTTTAACTGGTTTTCCCCTCATCATTGACTAAATATTTTTACGATTTTCTTAGTTAAGTTGAATCTGTGGAGTAAAAAGTGCATACATAACTAAAGAGTACTGACAAACATGGCAAGACATTTAAGCACATTATTATGTATTTATATACTCGCGAATAACTATGACAATAAAACAGGTTTTAGGCACGAACTATCTTCCTATTCCCACACATCCAATTATTTGTAGGTACGTATGTGTGTAGAAATATCTGCCCACCCGCTATATACTCGTAGCTGGCACATTTAAGCATCATCGCCCATCAACCGGGCAAACGCAGTCAAGCATCAAATAAACCTATGAATATAGGAGATGCAATGCAATCGAGTGAGGCCAACAATACGTGTATGAAAAAATACAACAATGAACAGCAATAATAAGTAAATCACTGCTACCACAGTGCTCATTGACTGCCGATTGCATGCGGTGTTATTGACTGAGCCTTTGTAATTTTTGCTGTTATTTTTTTCTGATTCACGTATATTTACTGTTGGTTGATGTTGCTCCTTCTTCAGCAGAGTACGAAAACTTAAAGCATTTTACAAAAGTAACTGACGTGGTTGAAGATAGTGAGTTTTAAACTGATATAATAAAAATAAATAAAAAATAAATTAAAACAACTCTACGAGCATCCACGCTATGTGATAATTCCTATAAACTTCCCTAATGCCGTTTGTTCAGTGAGTTGAAAATTTCAGAGCTTTAATGACATTTGGTTTTAAGTCATATGGCTTTGACTGATGATTTTGTATGAATAGTTATTTTTAAAACTTTTTTTGTTTTAAATTTAACGACTAAAAAGGACTAAATAAAAGCTAAAAGTGAAGAGAAATATGTGACAATGTTTTAATATAATAAAATAAAATTTAAATTAATTAATAAAACTAAAATAAAAGTAGATAAACTAAAATAACATCAAATGAAATAAAAGAAGGTAAAATAATAAAAATATTAAATGATATTAAACAAAATAAAATAAAAAAATTAAGTAAAATAAAAAAATAATACCTAATTGACGTAAAGTAAAATAAATAAAAATAAAAAAATAGATAAAGTTGAAAAAAAAATAAAATAAAATGAAATAAAATAAAATAATTAAATATAAAGCATATTAATATAAAAAATTGAATAAAAGAAAGTGACAGAAAACACTTATTAAAGAATACAATAAAATAAAAAATTAATAAAATGAATTCTTCTTCTTTATTGGCACTACGCTTTATCACAAATTGTTCGCAAAACTTTTCTCGCGAAAACTCGCTGGGTCGACACTTCAAATATATAGTTCGCCGAGAGAGGACTTTACTTTTCAATTGTCTACTCAGTCAAAAGTAGCACCTGTTCGCAAGACTGATTCTGCGTTGGATTTCAAGGCTAACGTTATTATTGGTGTTAATACTTGTTCCAAGATAGATGCAGTTGTCTACGACTTCAAAATTATGACTGTCAACAGTAGCCTGGTAGGCACATTCCGTATGCGGTAAATGTTTTTTGATGAGACGAAATATTTTGTGCTGCCTCATTCCACTATAAGATACATTCGGATCGCTTCTTCATATAGTCTGAAAAAAGCAAAATTAACGGCGCGGTTGTTAATTAAGGCCTACCGAACGGCTCTGAGTTGGAACCATGTGCATAAGTTTACGCAAGAGAAGAAAGGTTTTGATTGCCATGTACCTGAGAGTGGCCGGAAACCATTCGGTACGGTATTAGTTCCAGTATCCCCTGGGTAGCTAACAAATATCCGAGCTTAAAGCCAAAGTGAGAAGACAAATTCTTTGCCGTTCTGCGTAGGGTTTGGGACCCACCGCATGAGAAATAAACTCCAATGAAAAACCAAAATGACTTAATAAAATAAAACAATGCAATATAGAATTGAATATCTATTATAAAACATGTTGTGTGTTTTGATATTTTTCAAAAAAATGTGGAACGTCCATTTCCTGCCGAGCTATTAGAAAAATTTCCCGGTTCTGGATAATAAGTATATAAATTACGCTCATATGTCTAGGGGGCGATTAAAAGTTCGGCCTGTTGGCGACTTTCAATTTGTTTCTGCTAAATCTAAAAATACCAAAATCATTCTAATTACTTTATTAGTCTTCCAGACGAAATTCCTTCACCAACGCTAACAGAAATTTTCAATGTGATTCTATTCGGGCTTCGGCGTAATTTACTGCCACCACAAATATTCAGTGAATGCCAAAGTGCATTTGAAACGATTGCGTCGTCTTTAAAGACTATTTGTAGCCGGTTCCGAAGATTCCAGACCGGATATTTTTTCGTAGAGGAAAAGTTCCGAGAATATTGACCAAAATCTTGCTCTAGTGACGTCACTTTAGCGCAGCTGAAATCCAAAAATGACGATGAAACATGATTATTACAATAAATGTTGGCTAATGAATTGATTTTGAATACCATGGCTGTATCATGAATATTAAGTAATCATCTAGGACACACGAAGAAACCTGGTTGATAGTTACCACGAATTTTAAATGAGGCTGAAAAAGAGGCTCGAGTGAATTTCGCTCCAGTTTTCCTAAACAAGTTCGAAAATGGTTAGTGTACCAATTTTAGTTAAGCCTTTACTGGTGACGAATCTTGGTTCCATAAGTACGATCCAGAAACCAAACACCAGACCATGGTATGCAGCCCAACAAACCCACCCGTGAAATCTAAGCAATTTTATTGTGACGACAGACGGCCTAGAAATCACTCGATGATTTCAAAAAGAATAAGTAAAATTTATACGAACAAATTATTGCAACATTAGCGCATATATACGTACGTTTATCTATTGGAAACAATATTCTTTACCTACACTTCTTGAATTAAGGCAATCGGCTCGAGGTATCTTCTCCGACTTGTAAATCGGAACTGAATATAACAAACAAATCATTTGTCGAACCAATAAATTGCTGATATAAAGATAAGTAACGGTTGCTATATATTTACATAAATATTTACCTAAGCCGTTTGACTACTCACATATATCCAGTAAGAAGTTGTAACATTTAGGCATTTTGCCCAATCAGGTTATTTTTATAAATTAAAAAAAAATGTTTAATGGCAATAAGGATATAATTAATGCGACTGACAAGCTCAAAAAGCAGGATTTTTAAAATTGTTTCAAAACTGGATCTGTTGGCTTAAGAAATGCGTTTAAATCAATGACGACTATTTTTAAAAGAAAAAAAGCGCAAAGATTTTGAATAAATGCAATAATTGTATTTTTTTTTCTTTTTTCGGATCAACTTACCGATCTCCACATATAACAAAAATGTAGATATTGGTGTATGCATTAATTCGTGCGATTTTTTTGCGAAAATTAAGACTTTATTGTGAAAAGATGATTTTAATCGTCTGGAAACGGTTGCTTGATCAATTCCCAATAATTTTGCAAGGTTTTCTTGCGTCTGGCATGCATCTGCGTAGGACAATGTTTCCAATTCTTCGTCTTGAAATTTTTTTGGCTGTCCGGGTCGTTCACCGTCGTGTAGGTCGATTTTGCCACTTTTAAAGAGTGCAAACCACTATTGGCACGTTCGTTCGGCTAAAGCATGGTCACCATAAATGTCCAGTAAAATACGATTGCTTTCGGTAGCACTTTTCTTCTTGTTAAGGTAATTAAGAAGAACTCTTCGTAAAAACTCTATTTTTTGGTACAAATTTCTACTGAATGAAACTAATTGTTGTTCACGCTAAAACAAATGGCTTCTACTGAAAACGACGCGAAATGACAGCACCTTTGAAATGAATATAGCCACAGATAAACACGACGCCAAATAATACTATTAGAGCACTCTCTAACCGCACGAATTAATGTATACACCCAATATTTACTTCTGTTTCATGCTTCATTTTATTGAGATCCGATTATATTGCACAAAAAAAAATGGTCAAAAGAATCGGAACGCTGACTTACATAGATTTCATTTAATTCTATTGTTTATAAGCATAAGCACGAAGTAATATAAGCTGCATCATAATGATAAATTTTCAATCGTTGTTATAAACGTTAAAGCATTCACAAAAAAAATTTCTTTCCGCTTTTTACTCGAAACGAAATGTTAAAACGTTAACAGATAATGTTAAATGTAAAAATTGACCATTGCTGTTGAGTCACTTCAAACAGTCATTTTAAAATTGATGTCAACGATGAGATTTATGTGGTTTCATCGTCATTAGTTCCATTTTCTAGAGTAAATTTTTCTTGTGTATCCCTGGAATTAAATGTTTAGTTTGCATAGAGTCTTGAGAGGTTCCTAGACCTGATTATTGGTTTGCTACCAGCAGCCATTTATTTACTTAGTAAAGTAAATAAGAGAGCTATCTAATGTCTAGTGAATCAAAGAGTTTCCTGATTAAGTCAAAACTATTGTAGGCTTAAGAGTTTATATTTATGAACGAGTATATATATAAAGAGCCTCCTTGGCATTCTGTTGTATTTTCAATACGTTCTTTTTCACGTCAGAGCATTAGGTGTTTTTGGTTTCAATTGAAAAAGTAAAAAATGGTATATTTATATATATTTATTTAATATTTCGTTTTTCAAAACTTTTTTATTTTTAAGTAAAAACAAATCCAACATCAACAGCAATAAAGTTATTGTAGTGTTTAAAATTTTTAAGACCTTTCGTACATCATTTTCGTGCATTTGCTTTCTTAAAAAACATTTTCTCGCATTAATCAGATAAACACATATTGTAAAATTACAATAAATACTTTACTTAAACACTCACATATATAATATAACTAAATAAAAGTAAATTGCAATAATAAACGAATTTTCAGTATTTAGTAACAACTCAAACGGGAGACACAAAGCTTCGATTTAAACTCATGATAATGGCACATCTGTATGGCAGCTCTACCTGCATTTCGATTTTAACGGTGAGAAAAATAGAAAATAACCATAACCGGTTTTAATTTCAAGCCACCCACTTGAACAGTTTTTACTATTACAACAACGTGGCTTCATACGACTAGACACAGCGGAGGCCCAAACAGTGGGACCCATTTTAGAAACACCAATACGCAGCGATCGTGTAGTGTTTCCTGATGAATTAGAAGAGCTATTAATAAAAGCAGACGATTCAGGTGAGGAGGGCGAAATACATGGATCCAGCTTTACTGATACAATATCTGGTGAAGATGAAGACGGAGATGTTTCTGAATATATTTCTTCTGAATTAATGGCGTCAACTGAAATTGAGTTGCTATGTAAGAGTGATCTAATTTGGGATCCTGTTTTTAAGAGAAAAATAATGCTGATGGAAAAAGTGGTGGACAGACCTTTTTGTTGATTTGAAAATGTATTTTTTTTTTTTTAATTTGCATTAAAAACAATAATGTTGGAATTCAAATCTCGCATTTTATTTTTAAATCGAAGTTTTCATTAAAGGTCAAAGTAAATGCATTAATGACTAATTATTCTTCTATTTTCTTCGTAATTTTTCAGCGAAATATATTTTAAAACACTCGTGAAGTTGCTAAAAATTAGTAAATATTTTTTAATAAATTATTTCAAATGATTTCTGTTTGGCAACGAAAAATTTTTGAAAATAATTTAAAAGCATACTCACGTTTACATTTGAAGCTTAGAACAAAGCATCTATTTAATACTCTCATACCTACAACAATACCTCAGCATTTAAGCATTTGTGCTTAATAATAATTAAGTATCTCCATTACAAGTACAAATGCAAATGCACTTAATGCTTATCACACTGCAAATTTAAACGTGCTTGAAATAACTGCGGTTATAAATGAAAATGTGGTAAGTCCACTTTGGAAAATAATTAATGAATGATAGCATTTATTTAAAGTTTTCAGAAAAGGCGGGCAATTCTAGGTAAGGAAAGTCACATCTTGAAAAAAAAATGGAGCCGGAGCACCCCGAAAAAAATGTAATGTAATAATTCTGGAACTTACTTAATAAATGTATTTTTATCATTCATTTAAACTTTAGCTGTTATGAGATTTTCAAGCTTTGAGTATGTGGTTGTACTTTAAACGAACTCATAACGATCATTTAAAAATTAGTATAGCGAAAATCACATTAAATTGAATAAACGAAATTATATAAAAACAGAAGCAAACCATTACCACAAAAAAAGATTAAAAAATATAAAAAATAAAAATAAAAAAATTAATCAAATAATATAATAAATTAAGCAAAAAGCAACAAATATGTAGAAACTTCAAACAATAGTATTGTACCTGTTCTTCACAGTTATACCCAACAGTACGATATATGTATAAATATGTACGCTTAATTTAATTACTCTTAGCCGATGGCGTGTGAAGTGAAAAACTCCTGTGTAGAGCACAAAAAACTTATATAACCAAATTTTCAACTACAAATTAGTGGTTAAAATGGTAGCTGAAATTTCAGTTGTTGTTGTTATGAAATTGAAATGCTATGAGTTTAATAACTAGGCTTTTTGTGTTGAAATCTTTCTGTCTCAAAAATGAATAAGAATTTACGAAAATATATTTTTTAAGCATTTTTGTATTTTGTTAATTGAAAAATATATAAAATATTAAAAAAAGAAAAATTTAAAAATGCCTAACAGTACTCTCACAAAAAATTTTCGCCATACGTAAAATTTCAGTGGCCAATTTTACATATTTGAGTAGCAGGTTTGTATGCACGGGCAGAACTTTGAAGCGTCTTTCGCGAGCTATCAGTTTTACTAGTTTTAGAAAATGACGACGGTGATAGCAAAAAGAATAAATTACCAATTGCAAAAGATCAAAATGATTCAGTTTCGGTACTAAATTAACATCTATTTTACCAAAGAATTTAGACAAAAGTACGATATGATTTAAATAAACTATTTGTTTTTCAGAATTTGAAAAAATTTGGGCTTTTGAACTTATTTGGTACTTTTAATTCATACAGAACAAACACCTAAAAAAAAACAACATAAATAAACATGTGAGGAGCGGCTGACCGGCATTTGACCTTTTCCGACCTTAAGTAATTATAGATGACACATCTATAACTATTTTTTTATTACATTAATTATCATTTCGTTCCTGAAACAAACAACAACATTATACCAACGAAAACTGGAAATTTTTTCTATTCGGAGATGTCATCGGTTCTTTAGGACTCTGCCCCTTCTTGTATAGGGAGAATTTGAATAAACATTTGAATATGACAAGCAGCGACGATTAGAAAGTTATAAGCATTTTTTGGAGTTACGCCAGAAAGACTTGGATGAAATTCGGTTTGTTGATTTGATCTCGAGTCCAAACATAATACGATGCAATGGATAAAAAAGGAAAAGAAAGGCCACGAAAAAAATTTAAGGGAAAAGTTCGGTGTCGAAGATTATGGCTACAATTCTCTGGAATAGCGAGAGAATATTATTAATCGATTACTTGCCAAAGGTAACTGCAATGAACGGTCGTTATTACGCTAATTTGTGAGCATGAGATAGTCATACAGAAGAGGCGAGGCAAGTTAGCGCGCAGGGTGCTATTTCTTCATATAGAATACAACGCATCCGTTAATATCGCTTGAATTGTCATGGATGCCTTAAAAGCTAGGATTACACGATCTACCCTGGGACCAGGCTTCTAATGACTTTTTCCTTCTTTGAAATTTTCCATCTAATTTCGTTTGATGCGAATGGTGGCGAGACGTTGATCCATCGAAGTGAATGTCAGTACTAGGGGACAGAGTCTCTCTCTCAGAATGAATCCACACCAAATTTGCACTACTTTTTATGGCCGCTGTAGTAAATGTCACAAGAACTTACTTGTTTCCATCCTTCTCCCCTCCATCGCAGTTATGTCAGCGTTCAATTTTATGAGGCATCAACCAGCTGGGAACCGGCATCCTCCCCATTAAGCGACCGAACATTCTAGGTTCAGGGATTTAATTCTTAAATACGTTTGCAGTGGTCGTTATTAAAAGTGTGGTCTCTCATGCGAAGCGTTGAGCATTTCATTGAAGCTGGCTTACAGCTAGGTCTTAAATTCTGTGCATAATCTCCCTATGCGAGTGGGTTTATATTTTGACACAAAACAGACGCTGTAACTATAGGTCAGCGAACCCTGAAATATTAGTATAACCCCTCGGTTGTAACAGCATACCCATAAGCTTGAATATGTTTTTATGAAACTGTATTTTTATCAACTTTAGAATTTAAAATATTTTAATGCATTTAATGTACACTTGTTTCGAAGTAAGTATGTAAGTGCTAGAAGCAGAAGTGATAGATCCATAAAATATTATATTAAAATGATTAAAATGATGCGCTGAGTTGATCTAGCAACGAATCGTTCATGTTTTCGTTTGGTAATCCTCCAAAATTTGCATAAAAGAATTTGTAATTATGAGTTCTGCTTGCATACAATTAATTAGTGAATTGGTGCTTTATGATCCGAATTTTTGTAAAAACGGTCGTGCTTGATTATATTTTATACACCTTTTTCTGATAATGCGATATATTTTTAATTTATTTAATTTTGGAGCACTGTTACATTGTTACTCATACGCCATGGGATTTCCTAATAATAAAAATTTACATCTTTTATTTGTTAGGCATAGAAAGATTTCCTGCTCGAATTTCATGTTTATTACTTTGCACCCAGGTACACAAGAAATCAGCATTTTATTTTATATTTCAATTTTATTGACTGTTAAATTATGTTAATCTGGCTCTGGAACAAATATGCATTTATTTATAATATACATTTATACATAAATATTTTCCGCTCTGGCAAGTGCTTGCTTACAAAGCTTTTGTTTTGTGCGCCCTTTCTTTACGGTCATATATTTTTCCACCTTCTTTCTTTAAAAACTACAACATTGCATTTTTGGTTTATAACTATTATTCAGGTTTCGGCGACCATACAATATGTCATTGTGATGACCCATTAGCATAAAAGGGAAGTACAAAATGCACCACCAATAGCCGAAAAGAGAAAAATGAATAAAGCTTTAAAATGTGAAAAAGAGACGCACCCATAAGAATTTCTCTCTACTTTGATTCTGAATTCTTCTCAAAGAAATTCACTATGGTAGGCGGAAAAAAACTTTCAGCCACCTATAGAAACTGAGATACCGCTCAAAATGCTTTCCAAAACACCTTAGCGAAGTATTCCAACCCAATATACCACTAGGACTATTCCCGACGTGAATATGACCTCATCTGAGATAAAAGTCATAACAAAAGTGTAAAATATCAAAAGAAGTCACCTGGTACTACCACATAATAGAAAAGACGCAATTCTGACGTCATCATTTCGGCCAATAAGCTTGTTGCCTGCTCTTTCCAAGCTTTTTCAAAAAGTGCTGCTATCCAAGATATCTCCTTTTCTCCACGATAAAATAAACCATCATAGAACAAGTCCATTGCGTTACAAATGAGATCAGGAGGACATATGAGTTGAAAGAGTATTGCTCAGCAATAGTTCCTGATGTGGTTTACGTATTTGGCAAAATATGGCATGAAAACCTTATATACAAAATTCAAATGACTTCGGCGAAAAATTTCCATCTGATCTGCATCCAGTTTACATTTAAGGTAAAAGAATTTATCTCAGAAGAGTGTCCAATTACGGCTGGTGTTCCTCAAGGCAGCTTTTTGGGACTAGTACTATATTTCTTATGTGCTGCAGACATTCCAAAATACGAAAGGTATTAACCTACACGTTCACAGACGATACAGCTATTTTACATCGGAGAAAGTACTCAATGAAAGCATCCATCACAATAGAGAATCAATTAAAATTCTTTGGAAGTTGGCAGACGAACTGACAAACCAGCAAAGTTGTAGGCATGTAACATACACTCTGAAGACAGAAACATAAACAATACAAGCGAAATTATTGCGGCATCCACCTTATTAGGCAACTTAACTGGAAGAGCCATGTTCTATATAATTCCGTCATAAATCCAATATGGAAGTACGAAATGCAATTATGAAGTACAGCGATTTCAATCAAAAACGCTACGATACCTCACAGGTCTTGATATATATGCAGCGAAAACCTACATCGAGACCTTGAAATACCAATGGTAGACACAGAAGTGACAAATACTTGGCAAAATACCTGCCGAAATTGCAAAACCATATGAATGCTTTCGCAAACGTTTTGTCCTGAACAGCACGTTGAACTCGACTTCGAAGAAAAGATCTGCCAGTATTTTTAAGAGCAACATTTTACCTGACGTGCATTGATCTTTATGGACTAAAGCAGTAATTCGTTAGTTATTAAAATTCTAAAATTTATTATTACGCTTAAATTTAACAGATTCAATAAATAAATTTCTTTCAAGTGTTAAAAATAGAAAAAAAACCGGCGACACACTAAAACAAAACATAAATTTCTGTTCGGTTCTATCTAGAGGACTGTCTCGAATTATTTTGAACTTACATCTGACACTACATAGGCCCAAAATGAAATAATTGTCTAATATGCATATATGAGTTGAGACAATTTTGTACGATTGGAATCTAATGTACACGGCGTCATATGTTCTGTATCAAATTTGAACATTTTCATGCAAAGTCTATAGTGTCATATATTTATAGGCTAACTTATTTAATTAAAATATATTGTTAACTTACATTTATGTTTTTACTGAAACAGTCTTCTCTTCTTTTCAGTCATTAACAATTCATAGTGTGCGCGTTGAAATGGAATTAAAGGTAATTGGAAGCGATTTCAAGTACATCAACAATTCCCTTACGCCAATTACAAATTAATTATTATACTAATGGAGAGTTAAAAATTGAAACTAAATGTAGTGGAATAAATGAATTGTAATAACAACATAATCAATAGAATTCATAAAAAGTAAATAAAGAAAATTGATTAAGTTAAACAAGCCAACACCATAAAGCTGCAAATAAAATCAACAAAATGTGTGCATACTGAAGGTAAGTGATCTATTGTATTAGTAAATTTTTCGCTGAATAAATATTTGGAATATTTGACAAAATATATTTGGTATTTCCAGCGAGCACGCGCTTAGTTATGAGAGAAAAATGTAATAAATGGTATCTGAAAATTTAATCGTGTAATACAAGGTGTGTAAGCTCTTGACCTGCCACAACAACATTAAAAAATTTCAAGAGATTTCCTAGATCATACCTATCCAATAGTAGTGAAGAGATCGAAAACTTTATTTGACTAGTAAGGATTGCCTCAAAAAGCTTAGGTTAAGCAAATATTTCAGCACATAAGTTTCAATAATAGACCAAGAACGATTCTTATGTAAGGGGACTATAAAATATTTCCATATTGAAGGGAATAAAGTTTCTATGAGAAAGGAATTAAAAAGTTGAATTAAGGGCAAATACAGATTATTTTGTACAGATTTTTGAAAGCATAAAGAAGTTATATCTGGACACTAACTGAGAGAATGTTTTAGATTCATCAAATAATACAATATAATACATTTTCCTCAGAAATAATTGGTGAATTTATTACTGTTTTTGAACGTTAGTGATGCTGACAGACGGGCAAACCACTTTTAGATTTAGTTGAATAATTTTATTTAAAATTCATTGTGCGAACATATTGTAAATACTTACACTGTCGCGTGATACAGTAGATTTATATTGTATTTCATGGCGAATCGATAGGTGGAAAGCTTACGTATGGAGTTAACAAAATCAGAGCATCTTTGAATTGTGTTAGATATTTTTCTTTAGTAATGTAAACACGAATTCATGTGTTTTCTTTTAAGCAGAGGCTTTTTATGTACACATTTTTAAAAAAGAGAAATAATGTTACCGTCAAAAGGTAAAACACCTGCTTGTTTTGTAACCTTTACCATCCTGATAATTCTTTTCAACTCCCTTAATTATCTTTTGTTGTATTATTTTTTTCACATTCATACCGTATTACTTTTTAAGTTAAAAAATACTGCGCTCATCTAAAATGCCTTTTTGCCATTTGAATAATTCAATGGAAGGAGAATGAAATGAAAAAAATAAAATTACAAATCAACAAATGGCAGTGGCTGTAAACAAAAAATGTCGAGAATAACTTTCATTCTCACTGTTTACTATTCAAATTGACTGCACAGTCTAACAATGCGTTCTTGGCATTGTTGAAATATAAAAAATAGACCAGTTTTACCATTAATGCATATTAAAAGCGGCAGCAATGGTCGAATGGCAGATTAGTGAACCGCTAGTGGGTATTTTATTTAGCGCTTCAGCGAAATGAATGCAAAAGTGCGGAATATTACAATGCTTCTCTGATATTGAAAATATTTTAATGTCGTTATTGTTTGTTAAATATATTTGAGAGGAATTTGAAATTACAAATACTCCTAGCGAAAGTGGGTATGAAAATTAGTAATACAAAACGAGGTAGGGCATGGATTCGCTTGACATTTCATTGCTGTCTTTCTGAGAAAAGGATGAAACTAATTAAAAGTTCAATGATGAATGAGAAGCAAAAAGCGGATATTTTCAGTAATCCAAGGACATTAAGGATGTATACGAAAATTTTATTAATTAAAATGGAAAGAAACTAATTGACGGTGTAGCTGTGCGAAATTCTGAGAATAGTTAAAATAGGAAAAGCATACAAATCTGAAAGCGTAAATGCATTTTATGAAATAAGGTCAAAATATAGTGTAATATTTACTCGTCCGAAACTCGTTGTTCATACCATTCAGCTACTTATTGAAAAGACATTTAAATTCCTTGTCATTAGGGAAATTAAAAATGAAATTATGTCCTCAAATAATTAAGTAAGAATACCTCGTTAGTGGAAAAATATTTAGAATCACTATGATTACTCATTGTACGCACAAGCTTTCTTAATTAATTATTATTAATTATAATCATTTTACCTTTTCTTAGTCTTAATGAACTTTTGATCAATTTTTTTCGATATTCGCGGTTTGTTTCATCATGAATTCGCTTGCGCGAAAACATCTGTCGTAAACGGCCAAGACTGTGGGTCAACAATTTCCAGATACCTCAGTGACGAAAATGCGTCCTCGCACTGAGCTGTAACTGTTAACGATTTTAAGACCAAAAACTCCTTCAATACCATCGATCAGCCACCGCATTCACCGGATTTGGCCCCATGAGAATTTTTTGTTTCCAAAAAAAAAAATTCCCAAAGGGCCAAAGGGAACTAAAGTTGACTGATTTCAAGAGCGACTGCGAACCAGCTGATGACTGGAATAGTAATTGAGGGCAGTGCCACCAACTTAACAAAAAAAAAAAAAAACATAAAAATATTCAACGCGGGCTGTTTAAATGACAGTACGCACTGCTAAACACTCCTGAAACTTGCTGGTCATAATATTTGAAACTTCGTGTGAAAAGACATTTTTTAAAGCTTACGCTAGACTCTGTTCTGCGTGAGCACCCGATAAAAATGAATGTACACGTAGTTTCCTAGTAAATCTGAGACTGATCTTTTGGAAAAACTTGAATTAATTTTTAAATCATTTGGTTAACATGCAATTTGATACTCATGTATTACTTTGAATTCATAATGTGAACACTTATTCTGAGAGATCGGTCCCACCGTTCGATAATTTTTTATTTCCGGTATGATGCAGCTGCAGTTTAGGTCAAAATTACCATTGGGAAAACTTTTTCTTCCAGGAGGTGTGCCTGTGATCGACTCGCTGGTTCCCCTTTGGTTAGTATATGAAACATAAAATATATTAAATATAAAAGCTTACAACAAATTATAATTAAGAATGTAATGTAATAAGTCTAATAAATCTTATTAGAACCATCTTAAAATTCCATACGGACGAAGTCACGGGCAAACTCTGGTTATTTCAAAAAGTAATCATGTAAGGACTTTTCCTAATTTTATGGTTGTATTTTTATGTTAAAGATCTATTTTTTTAGAAGATATCGTAAGGATACTTTTTCATTAATCTTATTCAATGAATTTCTAACAAAGAAATATAAAAGTCCATGGTATTCCTGATATAGTTTGGTTGAAAAAATTTTACTGGGATATTAGCTTCATTACAACAAATTTTTCCCCATTCCTCTCAATTAACGAGATACAATGCGAGTTTTTTTGTTTCTGGATATATTTTTAACGGAGTTTTGATCATATCGATGTATGGGAACTATATGTTGTAGGCCTCCGTGTAGGTGCAGAATATTAAATTCCATGCCAGTGTATACCTTCTTGACGGACTTAAGACCAAAACCTCATATCTAAAAAATCGGTTTTATATAGTGGTCCGATCTAGTGAGTTCCAACAAATTATTTAACTAGTGCACATATTTTTTTAAATTTTGGTGAAGTAATTTTGTAATTTGGAAAAAGCAATGATTGCATAAAAACCTTCACAGTAGTCCCCTTGGACAGCTATATAACATGCTACGATTGAGATGTCCGCGAGTACCCTCGACACGGCCACCTGCATGCCCTCCATCGACTCAACATGGGTTCCTTTATCCACCGATTTTGGGTTAGGGAACAAAAAAGTAACAGGGTGTCATTTCGGGCGAATAAGGCGGTTGTTGCAACGCGGCCAAATACTGGGACACGCTGAGGGCGCCGTAGCACGGATCTTTGTCGCGATCTGCTACAGAACGGAATGTCACATGAGCGAAACTCAATGACATAACGGACGAACAGATAATACAGCATTATACACATACATATATGCAGTACAGTTCATTTGTTTTAATTTTAAATGTTAAAAAAAATAAGTTTCGCTACATGGGCGCGTAGCCTGCTATTGCTCATAACAAAATTTCTCTAGCTGTGAATAAGAAAATAATAATGGTAACCATTGCGGATAATCAAAAAATATGCAAAAACATAACGTAAAGAATTGTACGCAAAAAGTTAATGTTATTTTTTGTCTGTGTGTAATGTTAGTGGGGAAACAAAATTACTACCGCATCGAAATAAAAGAAAAGAAGAAAAGACGATAAAAAAAATATTTGAAAACAAGGCAAGGACAATCACAAGTATAAAATTTATTGCCCAGTCTCAAGGGTGTACCATTACGGTGGGTATGTGAGTGCGCCTACGAAGGCGAATCTACTACTGCAACAAGAAATGTTGATGCTGCCATAGTTTTTTGTTTTGTGTACTTACACAAGTGAACACATAGGTGTGTTTCTAAATACAAATGTAAGCATACACATATTTTATAGGCATACGTTTACACCTTCGCTGCTTAGCTGAACAGTACACGCAAACACATAAAAATACAAAAACAAAAGTAACTTCAAGTGCGACCTTCGCTGAGAAAAACTATGTTTGCAAATGCCCTTAAGGGTAAATATCAAGGGCAAACATATTATTTACATGCAGTTATGCGCAAGAAGCTATGACATAGAAACAACTGAATAAGTTTATCGGTAAACGCTTTGCAGTAAGCTATAAAATTCTAACAAAATTTTTTTAATTTTTTTATTTTATTTTATATCATTTTGTTTTGTTTTTTTAGCAAAAAATAGAAATGTTCTTCAGTACCTCGGTTACGGCTGCTTGAATGGCTGGGATACCATCATAAAATGCTCCCTTCATCTCGGTTTTCAGCTTTGGAAATAAAAAGTAGTCACATGGTGATAGATCAGGGGAATACGGAGGATGGTCGATGAGAGAAATCCCTTTTTTCATTAAAAATTCGAGCGATTTTTTGGTCGTCATTTAATTCATGTGGAACAAATCGCGCACAGACCTTTCTTTCCCCAAATCTTCAATTAAAATTTTTCCTAATAGTGTTTTTACTCGTATTCAATTCCTCAGCCAACATTCTCGTAGTAAAATTTGCATCGATACCAATGATTTCACGGACTTTTTCCACCAGTTCAGCACGATTGCCAGTTTCTGGACATCCTGCTCTGGGGTCGTCATTTAAATCCTCACGACCATTTTTAAAACGTGTAAACCACGTATAAACTTGCGTACGACTCATACA